GTCATTCTACCCCCAGACCACTCCTGCTACCCCCTGGGGCTATTATTCCACACTGGGGCCTGTCATTCCAGTCCCAGGACACTCCTCCTACTCCAAGGGGCTGTCATTCCACTCCCAGAAGACATCTGCTACCCCTAGGGGCTGTCATTCCAGTTTGAGAACACTCCTGCCACCCTTAGGGGCTGTCATTCCACTCTGGGGCCTGTCATTCCAGTCCCAGAAGACTCCTGCTACCCCCAGGGGCTGTCATTCCACTCTGGGGTCTGTCATTCCAGGTCCAGAACACTCCTGCTACACCTAGGGGCTTTCATGCCACTCGGGCCTGTCTTTGCACCCTCATAACCCATCTGCTACCTCCAGGGGCTGTCATTCCACTGTGGGTCGTGTCATTCTACCCTTAGAACACATCTGCTACCCCAGGGGCTGCCATTCCACTGTGGGGCCTGCCATTCCAGTCCAAGTCCAGTGTATTTGAGACCAGCGACCTTAATGGAAATTCCATTCTGCATTTTTTTTGTAACTCTTCTTGAGCAGTAATGTATTTCAATGGAGCCTATGCAAGTCAATTGGCATTGCATTCCTGGCTCCCATTATTTCCAATAGGCCTTCAAATCTCTCCCATTGTTTCCAATGGGCAACCCTGTCCTTCCTTTTAGTACATACCATTCTACAGTTACATCCTGAGATGAGAACTAGGTAGGCTTGCCAATTTCAGCTTGGGAAATTCCTGGATATTTGAGGCAGTGGCTCAGAATGGTGGAGTCTGATGAAGGAAGAGCACTCAGCCGAGATGTGATACCACAGAGTACACCCTCTGGAGCTGCCATTTCCTCCAAAGGAACTGATCTCTGTTGTCTGGAAATCAGATGTAATTCCAGGAAAACTCCAGGCTTCACCAGGTGCTAGCAACCCGGAACTAGTTAGCATGATGGACTTTGGGACTTGGGGGGTGGGGACCTCGGTTCAAATCCTTAGTGATGTAGTTCATTGGGTTACACAAGACTCGTGTTCTCGCAGCAAGTGGCCATTAAGAAACAGGCAACACTGATCTTTTCCTAACTAGCTGCCTCAGGACAAGGGGAGGAACGAAGCAGGCAGGGCGGAACGCAAAAGAGCTTCCAAGAAGAGCTGGGAACGAAGATCAGGTGTACAGAAACGCGCGGTGCTGCTGGCCGGGTTCCTGGACATGGCGCTACTGGTGGTTATGGGAGTGAGCGGCTCGGGGAAGTAGGTACCGTCTGCGGCGGGGTTGGTGGTCGACGGGTAAACTGGCTTCGCGCAGCCCCGGGCAGATCCTATGCAGAGGGCGGAGCAGAGACGAGGCTCTCTGTCGCGACGCCCCTGCGCTAGTCAGCCATTGGCTGTCTCCCCTCTGGGCTTCTGAGGGAGGGGGGGAGGGATTGCTCTCAGTGGCTACACTGAACCGGCGAGAGGGCTGGAGAAAAAGAGTAATGAAAGATATTCTTTCAGAGGATACTCTCGTTGGTGGAGGGTCGAGGCGAGGGATGGCTTAGCACCGTATATGGCTGTAAGGCTGGATCCCGTGAATTGTGGAGTTTCCTAACGTGTATACAGATTACGCATGTGTGTGTGTTGCTACAAGCTGATATTGGGACTACTGGCAACACAGACACATGTGTAATCTTCACCCATGTTAAGAGCATGTGAAGGTTTTTCTCCGATATCGACCAAATTACAACGCACCTGTGAAAAAATTGTCAAGAGTAAAGTGATCCTGAATAGAATGATTATCAAAGATATGGGATAACTATTCCAAGACCTGCTCAAAAGCTAAGCAAAGTCCTCCCTCCCCACCCCTCTCTCTCTCTCTCTCTCTCTCTCTCTCTCTCTCTCTCTTTCTTTTGCAATAAAGGAAATGGAGCCATTTAAACCCTAAACCAAGAACTGGGAGTATAAAAGCTGACTGGAGATTTAGGGTGGATTTTAATTAGAACTGCATTCCTGAAGAGGTTACAAACTTAACACACTCTAAGATGAACCTCCATTCACAATCAGTTGCATGGATTTGCTGCTCTCCCCTAAATTCTCATCAATTTTGTAAAAGAAAGAAAAAGAAGTCCTGTATACAAATGAGAATTCTCACACAGGTATCCTGTTTTTTTGTGTACATCTTCAGCACAATTGTTCAGTACTTTCTTCCAGTACTCCCCCATTTATACTTTTGTTCTGCTTTATCCTGAAACCAATTTCCCCATAGATTCAGGTGGGGTGGCCGGGATGGTCTGAAGCAGCAAAACAAAGTTTGAGTCCAGCGGCACCTTTAAGACCAACAAGCTTTTGATTGATTTTAAACATTTATTTGCTACCTTATAGCTCTGTCGTAGTATGCTAGTGATTTTTGTTTGATATGAACCCAATTTGTTAATTCTAACCTCAAAAAATAGCCAGCCAGTGTGGATTTGAATAATAGTTCAAAATTAACTTCTCTGACCTAGGATTGCCAGATATTTTACCGTGGGAGAATTTGTACCTTTTAACAGTTACAGAACAGACAGCTGTTGAAATGGTCCAGCTTTTCTTTGTCACTGTATTCCCATGTTGGAAAATGCTGGATTACTTGAATTTCTGTGAGTCAGGCATCTGTTTAATAGAATCAGGAACAATGGTGGACAAGGTTTCCTTTGCCCAAAATCACGTTCCAACCCTTGTGCAAAACAACTGTGCCAGTGGTGAAACTAAGATTAGGTCTCTTCAGTATTGGCTGAAGGGCATCTGGGAGGATCAGTCTTTAATCACTGTGGGAGGATGCAGTAGTTTGGTTGTTGTAATAAAGATGGTGAACTAGGACAGCATTAGTTAGTCAAATGAAATTATAGCCTTCACTGGTGTTTTAGATGCTTCAATGTTTTTATTATTTAAATAGTGGATACACTTAATAGATATGTATGTTGAAGTTGCCAGTAAGGTAAAGGTAAAGGTTTCCCTTGCTTGAAAGCCAGTTGAATCCGACTCTAGGGATGCGGTGCTCATCTCCGTTTCCAAGCCGAAGAGCCAGCGCTGTCCAAAGACATTTATGTGGTCATGTGGCCGGCATGACTAGACACCAAGGTGCACGGAACGCTGTTACCTTCCCACCAAAGTGGTACCTATTTATCTACTTGCAATTTCTTGCTTTCGAAATATCAAAAAGAAACTATGCAATAATGGCAGTATCATAGGATAATCACAAAATAAATGTTCAGAATCTGGATGAAAAACACTTTTATTAAGAAGGAGTCATAATATAAAAAATGCAGATGATGCCAAGTGAACTGATGTATGCTCTTGGTAGATACAGCAAAGCAAGCTTTCTTTTTCCTAGTATCATTGTTGAGGATCTCCCAATATGAAAACTTAACACCCACACTGTATGAACAAAACTTTTGTAGGTGTGTTTAACACCCACACATGCATGACAAAACTTGCATAATACTCTGTCACCAAATATTACTTTGGAAGAGCCAGCATACCTTTTTAATAGGCCACCTTAGTTTAATTACATACTAAAACTTTGTTTCAAATGAACTGTAGTCAGTCGGTTTTCTATAGGAGTATTCATTAAGTGCATTTTGCAGTCTCTTCAGACTAGTGCTGTTGGCCAAACATTTCTCAATGAATAAGAGCAAGGCTCCGTGGGAGAGTACCTATGGAAGAAAAACAAACTCGCAAGGACTTGAGAGTTACAACACTGACCTCTAGCACTGAAAGTTGATGCACAGGGTTTTTAAAGTTTTCTCTATTGCTCAGAATGAGAGTGTGAATGGGCTCTTTCCTAGCCCCACCAAGGTATGTATAGGAATAGACTGGAGGGAAGTTCTCCCCGGAGACCCCACAGGAAGTTATCCACAGCCATTCATACCAAAAACCATTGGCCATCCCAAATTATAGTATTTACAAATGCATGTGACTTTTACAGGTCAATGCAAGACTCAAAGTATGGGTATAAACCCAACATACATATAGGAAAAACCCCTTGTACAAATCAAATGGATACACATAAAAAAGAAGCAAAAAAAAGCTTATCCTAATAACGGCACAATCACTGTTTCCTATCCTCTCAAAAACTTAGCCCATAGACACAATAGTGTTGGTCACCTGAAGCCTCAGAGAGCCTCCCATAATAATTTGTAAATGTAGCCTTGAAAAGGCCACTCAGAGATGTACAGGCTTTATAGTGTGAGCCAAAGCAGCTACACTCTTCAGTGGGCTGAAAAGAGCTTAGTTTTGTTCAGGGTTGTGCAACAGGTCATATAAATACATTCATTGCTGAAGATCAGTTTTCAGCAAAAAGTATGAAATAGGGAATAGAATATTATTATTGATCATTTCCATACGATCACAGGTTGGATCCACAGAACCATGAGCAGGAATCCATTCCTTTTTTTTTAAAGGACATGATTGTATCCAACCCCCATGAGATACATCTAAAGAAAGATGGAGTTCCTATTGGTCCTTTTGTAGAAGTGGCTTCTCTTGACTTGTTGATACTGTAACTTATTACTTTCAGGTTAATATGCTTAGAAGCAAATAATGGGGAGGCCTACAACTAGTCAATGTCAAAATGTGGGATCAAATTAGCAGTAAAAGGAATTCTTATATTTCCTTTAAGAGAGGTGCATAAAACTACAAAAAGTAAACGCTACCCCCCAAAAAAAAACAGACAACTCAAATATGCCAAAACCCACTGGTGCCCGGTTGCCTGAAAACTGATGCTGGAAAAGGGTCTCTCTCCCCACTCCACCCCACCCCTTAAAGCAGCTCAGACCTTTTGATGTGGTATTTTTTTATTGAATACCACCTTCAGGACAGGAAAAGAAAATACTACCAAAGTCATGCTTTGCCTGCAAGAAGGGAAGCCTTGCGAGGATGATTGTTGGTCATATGGAATCAGACACAGGTTGCTGTGGTATTCTAAGCAGGTGGTTCATAGAACATTTAACCTCAGTGTAGCATCATTGACAACTAGGAGCAGGGCTTGGTATGGTTGGGTGCCTGCTGAAGCCCACAACCTGCAGAGGGCCTGTTGCCCAAGCTTGTCCCACTGGGTTTTTCTCCCAGTTTCCAGTGGAAGAAGTACTCAGAGGCAATGGAGGAAACAGAGCGCAGAATAATTATGTGGAGATCCCTTTCAGCCGAGAGTCCCCTACAACACTGCAGCGATGATTTCTTGTTACTCTCTAAGCCTACCAGCACAGATGAGGCTAAAAGGAGTACCACCGAATCATACTGTGTTCCTTCCTGCAGGAGCTCATTAGCATATAACTCATTCGCATATGCCACGCCCCATGACATCACCGGAAGTGTGTCAGAACAGGGGAAGCAAAAAAGGGGGGAGGCATCTTCAAAAGCCTCCCCTTCCCTTTCCCAGCAGGCCTGCCAAGGCGGGTTGGGGGGGAAGCGAAGAGAGAAGGGGTTTAAAGTTTAATCCAGTTTGGTGTAGTGGTTAAGTGTGCGGACTCTAATCTGGGAGAACCGGGTTTGATTCCCCACTCCTCCACTTGCACCTGCTGATGTGACCTTGGGTCAGTCGCAAGCTCTGGCACAGCTATCCTTGAAAAAGAGCAGTTTGTGTCAGAGTTCTCTCAGCCCCACCCACCTCACAGGGTGTCTGTTGTGGGGAGGGGAAGGGAAAGGAGATTGTAAGCCGCTCTGAGACTCCAAGTGAAGGGCGGGGTATAAATCCAATCTCTTCTTCTTCTTCTTCTTCTAGAGTCACGCCGCAGGGGCAGCACGATCTTTCCATTGTATTCTATGGCCCCATAGAATACACTGGAAAGATCATACCGCTGCTGTGGCATGACTCCCCACCTCCCCTTCCTTCTCCAGCCAACCCACCATGGGGAGGCAGCCGCTGGGCACCTAGAGAAGATCGGGCTGGGAAGCCAGGCATTTAATCCCCCCCCCCCGGGAGGGGCCTGGGCTCGTTTCTGCCGGAGCGCCACTCTGGGGCATTCTGGTAGGAAACGACCCCTGGGTACAAGAAGTTTAGTCCTGATGATGGGACCCATGGATATCTTGTGACTGAGAGGGAGGGCATAAAAATCTGCAATTAGGCTTGTCTAAACAAATGTATATGGGAAGCTATGAAAAGGTACAGGTTTCCCTTGCTTGAAAGCCAGTCGAATCCGACTCTAGGGGGCAGTGCTCATTGTGTGACTTCCAGGCACACAAGTACACACACACAAAATACTCACCAAAAAACCACCAACAACCTATTTGTACCTTTC